TGTTCTGACTCCTGAAATCAAACTGAATACAAACACCAAATACATCGTTAGAGAGCCCGCGGAAAACTGAAGAAGTGCATATAATTTTTATATTTATATGTTTCAGTTTGATGGGTAAATTTTACCAATTTCATTTTTCGATGAGTCATCAGCTTTTGGTTTTCAAAAATTTCGATGTCAAAATTTTAGTATCGATTGTCAATCTGGACTGATTCTTGTAGAAAATTACATTTCCTATAAAATGAGATCTCCCTCAACTTTTTGCGACGCCTACACAAATCTGAATAGGAATTTTAATTTCTTACCTGATTCTCCCTGTATGATGTTTGTATTTTGCCGCAGAAATGAGCGCATTTTACGGTCGGAATTAAAATCATCTAAGGCGACGGAGATATCACAGAAACAAGAAGTGGATTAAAAATGTCCGCCAGTTTTTGGACGAACCTAATTTTTAATAAAGACAAACTTGTCGTTAACATGTCTTTTCCAAACAACAATTCTTACCTCATCAAACGATGGTTTGTGTTGCCTTGCATAGTTTTGCGTAAATATCTCCGCTGTAGCAAGAGGCGCACCCATACTAACACTATTAATCTCGTCGTGTTTTTCCGATCGGGCATGAATGAGAAGTTTTTCAACTTTTTTCCATAAAAGTGGCATTTCATAAAAGTACCTCATATAATTGTATTGGAATGATTTCCATACTTTCATCTAACGGGATATTTGTAATCAAAAATCTCTAATCAGACAGCCTTGCATTGTTGATCAATATACGCTCTAGAAGTAGCGAATATGGTCGATTAAGTTACAAACGGTTTTGGACTTTTTCCACGTTTAACCGTCTCCAATTGCAAAATGGAAGAATGGTAACATGCATCCCTATTGGAAACATTTTGTTGTTCAAATGAACGAAAACTGTATGAAACTAAATTAGGGAATGAAAAAAGTAAAGGTCCTAATTTGATCGGTCTTCGCGACATGATACCAAATGTATGGTGCTCACCTTCTGCAGTTTTCATTTAAAGAACAAACCGGGCATGTATAGAGACCCTAGAAGCTTTCCACGAGTAGCATTGAAATCTGTCTTAATCGTTTCTTCATAGTCGACTACCAATCCATTATCATTTTCATGTCTGGTGTGAACGCTTCATAGCTGTTTGTCTTGTCCTCAAGTAAAAATAAAATTTTAGAAGCATAAGCAAGATCTGATCTCTAAAGTTAGCCTTGTCATTGTTGAACAAGCGCATGTTCACCTCCATTTGTTTATTTGTGCTTTGTAACGGAGAGTTTAAGCTTCACTTGCATGCACAGCAACGAGCTGATTTTACATAATCGAAAAACAAGATTGTCATCGAGAAAAAGAGAGTTTACGTCATCTGCACTATTTTTTATTCTCTTAAACACCGTTTCATAACTCAGTAACCTGAGATTTCACAAAAGCTCAGAGCACATCTTCCCAAAAAGCACAAAATTCGACTTTTACTAAGTGCATATCATTTTTGCAAATGATCTTTTAAACGGAAGAAAAATGAGCGAACATTTGTTCAAGAAATTTTTATCACCCATTACTGTAGTGTTAGATTTCCTGAAGGAGGGATGTCTAAAATCGTTATACAGAAAGGTTCGTAACTGTTGTTCGATGTGCAAAAGCGGTATTTAAGCACAATTTTATACTTAAACACGTAGAAATTTTCAGAAAGAATAAGTGCCTAACAAACATCTGCCATTTCATAGTAGACTCTTTGCTTCATCATTTCAGACTATTTGTATGTTGTCATTTTATCATAAATCATAATTTTTATATTGTCTAGAACTTTTCAACTTATTCAAATACTAATGTCGTTAACTTTTCGTCTATCATTTTATTTTTAAACAAGAATGGATCTACAAGATCGAATGAGACAACACTTCAGCGCACATAGAGATATCTTAAGTTCAACATGTAACACACCAAATTTCACTTTTCTGCTCCTGATTGTTGATGACAAATGCTATTAGAACATTCACACTTTTTGTAATTTCATTACAAGGCGACTACTGCTTGTTCTAGACTTACCATTCTTGTTCTTGTTTTGTCCTATGGATAGTCTCGTTAACATAACATGTATTCTTCCTTTCCGTTTCTCTGTTATGTATATCATTGAACTGATCATTCCAGTTTCTTTTACTTCTTAGATATATAGTCGGAAGTATCAACACTTACGTCAGTCGTCGCAGAATAAATTTGAGTGTACATCGTTTCGTTTCTCCTTATTTTTTCTGATTGTAACGTTTAATTGAGTGAATTGCATAACAATTGTATCGTTTGAGAAAAAAACATGATAATAAAAAGTTTCAAATAAACAAAATCGAAGTCGTGTGTTTAGTAGAGCTATGTCGATTGTGTATCCCGGCACTTCAGAGTTTGATAAGACTCTGATACAATGTTTTCAAAGAACTATCCAGTCCTTAGTGCTGGGTATTCCTACATAGATCCGCCCGCTTTACATAAAAGTTTCAATGGGGCAAATCTCACTGTGCTCATCCGATAGAGCATAGCAAGTTACATATAGATCGATATTTTTCATTGAAAAACTTTAGCCCTTTGATGGTGAAACAGCGCCTTTAAAAGTATCAAACCATAGCACTATCCTCTTTAGAAAATGGTTGATTTGATCCAATAACTTTAAGTAGAAAGAAATTGAAGTGAAATCAGAAAACAAAATCAGATAGAACCAATTTCTGGAAAACGTCGATTATTGAATTAACCTTCATGCAGAATTAGACAAGGTCCATTGATAGGTATGCCAGTAGCGGTAAAGTTGGTAACGATTCTACCCCTACCGGTCTAATACTGTTATCGATTCACAGGTTTTATAGTTCATTACGAACAGATATATCAATTCTAGAGAGAGTGAAATTCTTTAGAGCATATGATGATATCGTTATTGTAACAGATTCTACGTTTTATTTTTCTCTGCATTTTTAAGCAGTCTCAACTACGAAGAAAAAATAACAGTTTTTATCCTTTTGTTTAATTTTGTTTTTACATAAACAGTGAACCGAAACTGAGCAACTCACAAAATCGAATTTCGGCTTAACAAGCTACCAGTAGAGCGGTAGCGGTAGAACCGGCTACGGTAAATCAGTAAACTACCGCTACTGTTGCACGGCTATCCATTGAGATAATTCGACTAGAAACTAAATAGTCAATGTGTTTCCAACTAAATTATGAACACGACGCACACTCACTCAACAAGATCAAAAGTCAGAAAGAATCATATTCAATTAAAACCACATGACACAATCACAAACTGTTTGATAAAACCAAAAAAAGCTACTTTGGCTACCGATGATACAGCTAATGTCAACGAGCACCATCAAAAGACAAAAGTCGAACAACCTGACATCCACAACCGCTATCCACAAGTATCAGCAGTTATTTTTGCAAAAGCGAGCAGCTTCATCTCAAACGTTAGCTAACTCACGGTTTGGTCCGTGTAAAAGGAGGAGTGGGGATAAAGCAGGTTTTCCGTACCCAATGGAATTGTATTTTTCTGTCAGAAATATGTCAGGGAGCATTTGAAACAGCTTCGTTTTTTGGAAGATTTCTGATCTCTTTGGTCAAAAGGCTTTTAAGAAAAACTTTTTTCTTACATTTTTGCACCAATACATGGACTACATGTGGAATTTTATGCTGATTACGAATATCGCCTTTAAAAAGATGAAAAATATTGAGTTTTCATGAAGAGAAACTATTTTTACGGCATTTGCATACGACTGTCTCATTTTCGTCAAACATATCGCCCGCTAATGAAAATCGATTTTATGATAGACGCTTCGACATTAATCGTGGCTTCTTCAGTATCTATATGTTGTAAAAGTGTATATTATATTGCGTAATTAATATGTTGTTATTTGAATATTAATTACTTGTTTAGTGTTACATGTAAATAGTCAGAGAAGTCAAGAATATGTTCATTATTAGAAATGAATATTGAAAAGGGTAGTTATACAATATATCTTTAGCTTTATTAGCCATTTTCTTATGTCAGTATCTATGACAAAAGAAAGAATAAAATGAGTATACTTGTTTGTATTTGATATTCTTTATCCTTATTCTTATATAAGTGCTTCTCTTATATTTATGTGCAAGTTTCAAAATATAGTTCATTAATTTATAACTTCTCGAAACAGGGAACTCATGAACTTGATATGTCTTATCTAAATCAGATTTGTTGAATTTATAATTAATCTTTTCATGACTATATATACCATTTGGACCAGCATGTGCTAGTATTACTTCACCAGTTTTGTGACTAATTTTTAAGCAAAAAGTAAAGAGATCATCGGTGTTATAGCCGCCATAAAATACATTTGATTTGGCCTTAAAGTGCCGCTCATGAACATTCGTATAATGCTGATATGGATAACCATCATTCAAGTACGAATATGCTTCGTGATAATCTTCTGTAGCCGTAGATGGTTTTTCAGCGAAATAACAGACAAGACACCGAAGATGAGGTTGATCTTTGTTTGGATCGATCTTTTCATTTGATAATGTTAACATCATATCACCATTCAGTGCTTGTCAATAGATATAAGTAAAATCGGGCTTGTTTGGTTGTTGACCTTTGTGGAGACAATATAGATCATATGATTGAGAAATTGTCATTGGCAAAATAATATGTTCTTCAAATTTTGAGCCTGGATCTGTGATAACAATGTCTCGTGAAATGTGTGGTGAATTGGTTATCTGTTCAATCTTTTCACAGATTTGTTGAAGTACAGATTTCTGATAAGGTTGCCGAGTTCCATCTAATGCAATTGTGTTACCTGGCACAATTAAACTAAGATTGACCTGATGATCAGTAATGATAAGTGATTTATTAAAAGTTATATTTGCTAACTGTTGGGCTTCGGGAGTGAATGTTTCAAATACATTTTTCGGCATATAAACACAATCGACGTAATCTAGTGGAATAAGCTGTGACAAATGACCTTCGAATACCTCATGTGAGTCAACGTGCATCCATCGTTTGTTTGTCTTTACCAGTTAAAGCAACTAGTTCTCTAGCTGCTGCATATTCATAATGCGGAACAGAACAATGTAGTTTGGAACTATGGAATTGCTCGGTGCATTTCCCGTCATTATTCGGATTTTTTAACCACGAACGATGTGTGTAAGCACTTAAGCTAGGACCAAAAGTAGTTGCTGCCTGGACAGAAAAATTAGCATCGGGATGAAGCATTATTTCAAGTTTAAAGATAACAAATATGTCACCATAGTAATGATCACGATGAGGTCCCATTATGCTAAAAACCTGTTTATCTGTCCCTAGGGTCTGATCAACATTGTAACCAATTCCTGTAAGACTAGCGTGCAATTTTATCGATGCTTGAGTTATTTGTATCGCTAAATCATGAATAGTTTTAACTTGATGATCAGTGAGAGGTAGTTTTAGTCTTCTTTCAATTTTATTAATCTCATATTCATGTTCAGGATCTAATGGGGTTGTTCCACCTGCTGTAGCTTTTAGGAATTCAGCTTGAACCAGAATTTCAATAAGTTTACATGCATGTTCTTTCACTGCAGGATTGTTATGTTGAAGAAAGATTAAGCGCAATTGACCATGTTGTTGAACTGTCTTGGCTACGCGGTCTGGCTCTTTTAACAACTTCATGTAGTGGCGACTCATCACATGACCAAAAACAGGAACCAATTCAAATATACCTTTTCCACATCGATATACAAGTTGCAATACTCGAATCCAATGAAGTATCTCTTGAGAAAGCTTTGTTTGTTCCAGTTCGATATGTCAATATAGTTGTTTACGGTTTTAATCAATGATCTTGATTACAGACAAAATCAATAGACATATTTAAACCACTGAACGGAGCAACACTAACATGATCATTTTTGCAAAAGTCTGGATGATCATATTCACTCAAATGTTTGGGATCTGTACTATCACATTCACCACTATATTTGCATTTGATGTTATGTATGAATGTAAACATATGTACTTCATCATTGATTTGAGCACACGAGGATGTTATATCTTGTTGTGAACACATTGGTGGATGTAAATAAATACTATTATGTTGAAGATTTTTAAGATCATGACATTTAGCACCGTGCTGGCATGGAGGAAGATATGCAGTACAGACATCGCTCAGAGTTACTTGACCATCCGGTGACCTGTCTAGAACGCGATTTGGCCCAGTAACTCCCTTGATACGTATTTTTTTGGGTGGTTGTATAACTAAACCATTGAGTATCTTTTTAAATGGGACCAAATTTGCATTTGGATTTATTTTATTTCCTGTATTATGATCATCAACAACAGTGAAATAAATATTTTTAAGGAAACCAGCATTTTGATAAATAACAGATTTGAAGAGTATAGCTACATGTTCAGGTAGGTTTTTGAAAGCGCCACAACCAAAAAGCTGATAATACTAAACAATCATGTTTGTGATGATGTGCAATTGCAAAAATATTTTCAATCTTTCTGTGTGTATTAATAGCAAATTTATTTTCTAGCATATTTTTATTACTTAATTCAGGATCTCGATAGGCAGCTACAGCAATAGCACAGGCATTATAGAGAGGACTTTTCATATAAGCATATCCATCGGCTTCTGTTTGACGAAATACAGTTTAGAACAGTGGATTTAATTTTACAGTTTACTGCAAAGTTAAGTTCATGTGTTCGAATCTGTATTCGTACAAAAATTGCTTTTGTGTTTCGATAGTTTTAGTTTAGAATACTATAATGGAATATTTTTTCGCTTGTATTCTGGAAATAAAAAAGCTTAAAATAAAACAAATGCAGCAATACCAGATGTGTAAATTGCTCCAAATTCTTCCATTGGGTATAAACCATTGTAGCTTGTTAGCCGTTTCAGTTCACATTTTGATGTACAGTAAAGTCGTTCTGATCGCTCTTTGTCGACTCTCGCTCTTGTCGGCATCAAGACTTTGATAGTAGTCTGAACGACGAAAAAGATTTTCTTCTTGTGCACCATCACCTTTTCGATAACCACCTCCAGTCGCATTGGCCATATTAAGTAATAATGACCGATATCCCTCGAAGACTAATTTCTCATAAAGAATGAGACAATCTTCGTTGACTACCATAACATTTGTCGATGTATATGGTGTTTTCATTTCTGCCTCAAATTTTTTTTCCATAGGATAATTTTGCTTTGTGAGATCATAGCCGCATATCTGTTGCATACCAGTTTCAGCATTAATTTCACTTGTGTCTGGATCGCTAACAACAGTATGTGGTATAATCTGCATGATATTATTATCTATGCGCAAAGCTCCAATCGTTAAACAATTGTCATAATTATCGATAACATCTAGTTCCAAAATGAGATGATCATTGATATGACTATGTGCAACAACTCGGTCAGCAAATAATTTGTGACTGAGGATACAGTAGACGTCAAAATTAGGAGGTACAGGAGAGACAAGAACTCGATATACAAGTTTCGTCTTTTTCGATACATTTCGCCCATCAATTGTTAAGAAGCTTTTCATAATCCACTTTTTTGCGGACTTTGCTGCCAAGACAACTGCATTGTCTGTCTGTCATTATACTGCACGTAAAAAGATATGGCTAGAAGTTCTTTTTCACCAGTTTGAGCAGTAATGCCTAAAATGAAAGCTTATCGTTATTAGTGTCTGGCGTTAGCAAAGGTATTCTCGATTTTAAAACTTGATGCACTAGCTACTACAGCAAGTTTAACATCTCACTGGGTGATTACGGGGCGTAACAGTATATCACAGATATCCATTAGCACTAGCGTTATTTACATATTTTTGCCCTAGTTCTGTGTTACAATTTAAATATCAGCCAAGGAAGAGATGCATTCATGCTAGAACAATTTTCATGGCTGCTATAGAATACATTTGTGCATTTTACTGAGTTCTTTAGAATATTAATTTTATTTCACAAGCATACATCACTGGTGTATAATATAGACTAGATATACACCGAGCTTCGAGTTATCCGAAAACTCGAATCGAGCTACCCGAAATTCGAGCTGTTTTAGTATGGCGAATTATATATACAGAAAACAACGATCTCGTTTAACACCGGCAAATTTATGTTTTACTGTATTTTTGAAAGATAAATTCATCGAAAAAACTGAATAGAATGTTCTTTTTCTGTTTTTCATTTATTTGGTTCACCTTAATTTCATTTTATTCACGCAAAATACATTAACCTATTATTTTCTAAAATTATTTTCTAAGTCACAAAATTTTCCAAAGCGTTTTTTGACGGATGGAACCAGCAGGAAGTCTAATTTACACCATATATGATTTCTGTAAACATCGTACTTTGCATCGCCAAAAAATTATTTTTCTGTGCACGTGACTCAGCTTTACAACAAAATCTTCCTCATCAATTTTCGCAATAACTATGGGGATTAGAAAAGAACTTCGATCGGAGAGCAAAAGAGCGTATGTGAAAGTCTATGACCTAATAATCAAACCTTGAAAAAGCTTTCAATTTTTCACTCAGTATCCACGTTGTTATCCGTGCTCACAGTGAGCAAATGAGTGGAGAGAAACAGATGAGATGTGAGAGAGGAGGATGAGCGATGTGATAGGTGGTTAGGTCAAATTTGTTTTGCCATTTCAGGCGCATTTGATAATACATGAAACTTACTTTCATAGAGTTGAGTAGCGGAAGAAGAGTAAGGACAAAGCTATTGACGTTCAAGAACTCAAAAAGCTGCTTCGGACATAAACCGAAAAAGTCAGTTTAATTTTGAGAGGAAACTCATATAGTGACATGGGATGCGGACACACAACACAAATGCCGTTTGTTTGCCAACATGCAAAATAGAATAAAAGTGTGGGATCCTCCTTAATGTAGAGGCCTGAGAATAACAACCATCAGGAAAAAAAACACTTTAATTTCGAGTAGCTCGACCAGGTGCATACCTAATATAGACAAGTAGAGCACCAGAAACGAAATATGCTCCTTTTTGTGTGTTTTAAAATACTGATAAAGAAAAAATAAAAATAAAATATATTATGATTGATGGATGAGAAGGCACGTATTCTAAACAAAAAAATAAGAAATTTTTGTGACTATACAGACTGTTAGAACGCATTAGAAGCCTCTTCTCTGTATTTATGTGCTTTTTTTTTTTGAAAAAAGTGTATGAGAACAACCAAACACAAAAATCGTCATTACTCGACAAACATATTTCATAATTGTTGGCTGAGTGAGCTACAGTAGGAAAATTGAGATGCCATTCAATAGTGCTCGTTGTGGTTTGTGTGAAAAAGATCTGCGAAAAGAGAAGAAGCGTCTTTTGAAAAATACGCCTGAAATGTTCGATTAAATAAATAAAGCTTATAATAAATGTTCGATTACGTTTACGATTTATATCTAAAACTCTATGGACATAATATTGATGATGAGACTATACTTTGTACAGGTTGTTACATGCGTCACAGCAGGAGCTTTAAAACTGGTGCAAGTACAGATGATTCTGACATAGAAATGGACACTGAAACGAAAGAAAGTGAAACTACAAATATTTCTCCCGCCGAAATACAAGCCGTTTCGTCTAGTTCTGTTGTCAAGAAAACGGAATGCTCTCTTTCAATTGAAGACACTATCAAGTTGCCGTTTGCGTTTCCTATATTTACAAAGAGCTATTGTTTAGTCTGCAATCAAACTTTAAGTGATGGAACACCTTCAACAAAAATGAGAAAATATAAAACAAAGCGCAAACCTCATGTCTCATTACATTATGGATTAATATCCGCGATAGATTGACATTATTATTACACACAATATATGATGATATATTGGGACTTCGGTATGTGACATAATCTTTATCCTAGCCATGAAAACAATCTTTGGTTTCATTACCAACGAATATTTGTGAAATACATTTATCTCTTGATTTACATTTGAACCTACTAGTCACCTTAAGGGAACTAGTATCACTGTAAATTTCGTCTTCGTTCTGAAGACAGTCGGATGGGTCATCAATGAAACGATGTTCGGAGACACATTCATTTTTGACTAGAATTGCTCGAATCTAGTGTTGAGATTAATACATGATTGGTTTTCTAACAAATTCACAAGTCTGCTTATTCAAATAAAATAAAAATCGGGAAGATATTTATTGTGCAATCATTTTTAGTAGCTGCATAAACGAAATACACGTAATGAAATAAGGCAGGAACAGCTAGAAGAGCCATTGATGGTGGATGTTCTGACTTTATCAACTCATAATCAGAAAAATTGTATGGAATGGAAAATAAGTTTTGAAATTGCAATGCACACATCATCGAAGTTCAACAGATACTCAAACATTGTAGTTTCGAAACACAAAGAAATATACTTATTGCCTCAATTTAATACTCCATCATTTGAATAGTTTGCTTCAAAAATGAATGAATAATGGCTCTGTTCACGTTGATGCTAGGTGGCATTCGCATGGCCTGTTCACCAAATGGGTAATTCGAGACGTTAACAACCTTTTAAATAAAAATCATGGTCATTCATTGAGAGTAACATTTATCGTCGTTCGTCTGACTTTGGTATTGAAAATGTGATCTAACATAACATTGGAGGAAACATCACCATGGATCGTTAAATATTCAATTTATAATCAGCTCTCATTTATTCTTGTTCTCGCATTGGCGGCGGTAATGGTGCGTTTGCTGCCATGTATGCATTTTGCAGTTTGATGGAATACAGTGTGATTTTCTACCATATCAAGCTCAAATTTATTTTGAATGGATAATTATCGATTGCGATTCTTTTGCAATTGAATGTCAGAAAAAACATCTGGAAAAATTCGACGAAGAATCTCGGAAGGAAGCACCTTTTTTCTGGATGGCCGTCTAATCAGCACTTCTATAACAGGCTAGGAGAAAGATCAGGAAAAGAAAGAAAGACGACCTTTCTTTCTGGATGATCTTTCGTTGCTAGAGGCCTAATATAACACATGTTTTTACAACCCACACTAAATAGGCGAAAGAAAAGAAAAAACTATGCAGTGTGTGGCCTTTCCCATGTCCATTGTTATTTCTCACGTTTGAAATCGTTTAGGAATTAGAGAAAAATCAAAAGGGAAAGTTTTCTCAAACGCTTTGAATGTCAGTAGTATTGACGATCAGTAGTACCGTTGATCAGTACTACTGACATCAGTTATCAGTAGAACCTTTGATACTGATGCATACCTAGTTCAGACTGGTGTTCCAACAATGGATAGCTTAACCATATTCAAACAGTTTAGTTTGAAAATTCACGGATCTCATGCGAAAGGACTTGTGTCGTTGTTAGAAACCCTGGACTAAGTGAAAAATCTGTTAGAAATACAGCCAATTCATGTGCTTGAAACATAGGATTTTATACACTAATGGCTTTCCAAATTGAATCAACTAGCTGATCTCTTGGCTGGAAATATAAAACAAAGCGCAAACCTCATCGAAAAGAACCATAATAATCAAATCGAATTACTTCACCTTCAACTCATTCAGCGTATAGATGATTACAGGACAAATTCATGGACTAAGATCACAGTCAGTAAGGGTAAGCAGCAATGAATTTGGATTTGAAAATAACAAAAATAAAATGCGTGATATCTATATGGTCAAACTACAAAAAAGTAATTATTGTCCGGTTCTATATTTTCAACGTTCTTGCGCAGATGTCACTTGATCTTGATTATTTGCATCATACGTTAGAACAATGCGTTTTTTTGGAAGGTCTTGATCTGGCGGACTAAGTGGCTGTGGTGGAACAAAGCCTGTTGCATGATTACCGGTACGAACGAGGTGGACATTGTAACCTGTTGGGAATGAGAAACAGATATCTCAAAGAAATTGAAAAATGCAGGTTGAAGAGATCAGTTCATTATACCTTGTTGTTCTAATTCTGTTTTAACATCATAGACATTACGTCCAATGTGTTGCTGTAAATCACTCATGTTTTAATGAATGCGACCTGACAGTTCTTGTGCTTTTACAAATGAAATGTGAAGGAAATAAAAATAAGGTCTGTTATGGCTTCACTTGCATCGTCTATATTGTTGTTAATGTAACGTTTGGAATCTACGTAGAAACGTTTTTGACTCCTGTATTCCGTTTACCAACTTAGAAATTACGAAATCATCTCCGCACGGTCCATTTCAATTCTGAACAATCCTTATATATATGTGCATCACTGAGAGAAAAAGAGAGAAAAGAAGAAAAATAACTAGTAGCTTGCAGGTGCGATGAATACAAAGTGTTAAAGTGGAAAAGTGTGAAAGTGTAAGTTGTCTAATTCACGACAGCATTATCTTCTCTCGTTCAAGTATGGGTAAGTGGAATGAACTTCATTATGAGAGTAGTTCTCGAACTGATGCTTTTTATAGCAATAATGAGTCGTATCAGTAAAATGCGTCATACGATGGAACTTATGCTGTTCTGAGAAGAATTTGTATATGTTACCCGCGTTTTTCTTGACAAAGAGTTGAGAGTATGACTTTCTGTTGAAACTATATAGTTTGCGATAAGTTAGGCGTCTCCGATGAAATTCAGGATAATATAAAATGTTTTCTTCTTGTTAAAATATATTTTACAACAGGTTTTGAGTTACTGAAAAGCCGAAGACTTGGAAACCTGTAGTGGCCTTTACTAAGCGTGCAGTCCTCCAGAGTGGCTTTCTGTGGCGAGTTTACTGCGTAGTAAGGACCAGTCCAGTTTCCAAGTTGTAAAATATATTTTGATAGTTCAAAAAAGTGGAGTTTAAAATTCAGTATTTTTCTATCTTTAACCGCAGTAAACTCGCATGATTCATATAGAGAAATTGTGACAATATGTTTGTCATTCTCTAAATGGGTTGTAAAATTTCAACACGAGGAAAACATTTTATATTATCCTGAATTTCATCGGAGACGCCTAACTTATCGCAAACTATATAGTTTCAACAGAAAGTCATACTCTCA